GTAATTTAACCAAAAAAGAATTCACTCTACTGGTATAGGTGTCCCTCCTGGAGCCTGAAGATCAGGATGCGTGGGGGCCTCAGGAAGTGATGGGTTTTCAGGCCCCTTCTTCCTCATGGCAGAGTATGACCAAGCTCAGAGATGTAGAGAATCCTTACCTGTGTCTCAACCCCAGCTGAAAACCCCCAAAGGAGAAACTCTTGATGTCCCAGCCTGTGTGATATGTCCCCCAGCTTCGGCCTGGAGTGGCATGATTAGCGACACAAACTTGGCTGCCCATCATTGTGGATGGTGTTTGTGATGGGAAGGTTTGAAGGACCATCCCTTGCAAAGAGAAGTGGTTGTGTGCTGGCAGAGATCCCCAAAGTTTCTACTACATCCCCTGTCTGGTCTGGCTTTCTCATTTAGTGATATGGAAATCGAGGTGGAATGGCATGAAATACATTTCCCATAGTCATGGCTTGATGAATGTGGGATAAAGATATAAACTGGGTTACTCTCAAAGTAAACTGGGTTACTTTGAGAGGGAGCACTGTTAATAATTGGGGAAAAATGCACAAACTGGACTGTTCCAGAAGAATTAGGATATATGGTTGCCCTTGAACAGAAGAGTTCTAGAGCTCAGATTTTAAGATAATAGATTATTTGGGTGGAGTGGGAATACCAAATCAGGACTAAAGATAGTTCTTCCTACCGTTGTGAGATAAGATCAAAGATAAGGGCATATCTAAATTTATTATTCTTTCCATATATCGAGTCACCTCTGAAAGGAGAAACTTTGGGAAAGGTACTGAGTTTCTCTACTTCTCAGTTTACTGAAAGTAAATGGAAAATAATAATATTTTTCCAGTTTCTAGATAATCTAAGTGATCACTCATATTCTGAAAGGATGGGAGCAGTATTTGCCCTAAAATGAAATATTTTAATTGTTTTCTTTTGGTTTGGGTCAGAAAAATTAAAAGGGTAGTCAATCTATGTATATTCATACATTGAAAAAAAGTGTAATAAGTGTATATTATTGTTCAGGGTGCAGTTTTTTTGCACAAAGAGACACAGTCTTATGGGACTGCATACTGCATTTGGGACTTCAAAAGCCCCACAGTCAACAATTGGACATTTCTTCTACGTGCTGTGGTGAAGTGCTTGATTCTGACCTCTGTATCCCAAGACTCCAGGAACTAAGAGTAGTGACTAGCATCCTGCAGTGCCTGCTCAGAGTTTACTTAATAGACATCTTTATAAAGATGACCTTTAGAAATCCTCTGATTTTTGTGTGCACCTTACAGATGAGGTGACCTCTAGGTGTGCCTTAGGATTACAGGCTTTTAAACTAACAGCTAAATCAGCGTGGGCAAATTCCTCAAGCTTTTGGAGCTCCAGGTTTGTCATCTGGTGCAAGCACGTGATGCCGGTGGTTCTGAGATTTCAGTGAGATACTGCGCACAGAGAGCTCAGCCGAGTGTTGGGCGCGGGGTAAGCGCTCGGTAACTGGTAGCTTCACTCTTTAGAGTTAACCTGAAAGACTTCCAGGCTTCTCAGAAATAGAATAAGTGACAGTCTCAAGTTAATTGTGTATAAAATACATCATATTCTTTCTAATTATCTACTGAATTTCCTCTGGAATATATTTCCTTTAGTGATAAAGAAATATAAAAACTGCATACATAGTTGGAAGCTATGTACCTTTCATGTAAATAGTGAAGTTGTTTTGTGTTAAAGAAGATCTAACACAAAAGAGATCTTCCTCTCCTGAAACTCAGTGGCTGCTCATGTGTCATTTCTGAGGCCAGAAAAGAGGCTTTGTCACGGATTTTTTCATCCAGAGATCTGCGTTTTCCTTTTAGATTTAATCCAGTTAAAGCAGGTTCTGCTCCTTCTTGAGGTCTTGTTCTGTTCGCAGTCTTCTGCTGACTGGGGGACTTTCTCCAGATGCCTCTGAACGTTGGCGGGGAGCAGCTGCCTTAGCAAAGCCCACAGTTGTTGGCACTGGAACAGCACCCAGAGCCAGCAGGCTGCTCGCTTTCCGGGCCGAAGCCTCTGCCTGTTCAGAAACGGCTCCCCCAAAGACATCACTGTAGATTCACTCTGAGTAAATTACAGTTAGTGACCTGCTTTCTTTATTTGTGCTGTAATTTTTCCCTCTTAGAATAATAGTACCATGTAGTCTATTCTATCAAAATGGAGGATTGCAGCTAAAAAGCAAGTGTATCCATAAACACCCAACAGCTCAATTGTATACGCTCAAGCTTTAGCTAATCAAAAAAACCATTTTTCTTTAAGCTCAGTCACTTTGAAGGCTGGAGCCCACCTCAGAGAAGGCGCACTAGCAGTTATTAATGGAAGTGCCACTTCCGTTCAGGGCTCTGCGGTTATCCTCATCGAGCGCCACTGTGTGCAGGCTGTGCAGGACAAGCTGGGGATGCCGGGGGACACCGGCTCCTGCCCCCCGGAGTTGATCTAAGCTCAGTAAATGCGGGCCCTGCACTGGTGCTCGCCCCCAGCAAGGACCGCCTTTGCCGTGTCCGGTGGGGTGTGAGTGCAGTGAGAGATTGTATAAACCTAGTGCCGTGGAATTCAAAGGCAGGAAGGTTTGACAGGTCGTGGTTTAGGAAAGACTTTCTGAAAGCAGAGGCCAAGCGCGGCGGGAAGACGTTCGTGAATAATTACCTGAATGCCAGGCATTGAATCAAGCATATTCCACGCATTATCTCATTTTAAAATTGTGATTTAAAGATCCTTATTTGTAGTTCATTATAAACTAAAGAGATTGAAAAATCTGGTTAGCAAAAAAAGTGGTTACAGGGGCCGGCCCCGTGGCTTAGCGGTTAAATGCGCATGCTCGGCTACTGGCGGTCCGGGTTTGGATCCTGGGCGCACCCTGACGCACCACTTCTCCCGGCCATGCTGAGGTCGCGTCCCACATACAGCAACTAGAAGGATGTGCAGCTATGACATACAGCTATCTACTGGGGCTTTGCGGGGGGAGAGTGTGGAAAGGAGGAGGATTGGCAATAGATGTTAGCTCAGAGCCGGTCTTCCTCAGCAAAAAGAGGAGGATTAGCACGGATGTTAGCTCAGGGCTGATCTCCCTCACAAAATAAATAAATAAATAAAGAGTCCTTTAAAAAAAAAAGTGGTTATGCTAGACATACTATTTTATTACCAGGTTTTGCCACATAATACATTTTGGACGTTTACTATGTCATTAAGTGTACTTCTCCACATTACTCTGAATGACTACATGATTTATATAACTATTTCCCTTATAAGTTAGGTAAGAAGATGTAAACATAAGAAAAAAAGACCATGAAAGTATTAGGAGAAAATATATAGTCTAGAGGGTGGGCATGTTTTTTTTCTTTCAATACTTTATTTTTTTAGAGCAGCAAAATTGAGAGGAGGCAGGGAGATTTCTCATCTCCCCTGTCTCCACACAGGCACAGTCTCCCTGGTTATCAACAGCCCCACCGGAGGGAACATCTGTTAGTCAATGGACCCTCACTGACACATCACCTCACCCGGAGTTCAGGGTTTATGTCAGGGCTCACTCTTGGAGCTGCACGTTCCATGGGTTTGGACGAAGATCTGACGGCAGCAGCCATCACTGTAGCGTCATGCGGAGGGCGGGCGTAGTTTACATACATGCTAGTAAAGGGACAGACTCTTAACAGAAAACATGGGTAGTTCTGAACACGCAAAAATTAAAAATCTTTCGGGTATCAAGATTACTATGAATCAAGTTTACAGGCGTTAACTCTTAATTCTGACAACAGTTTTGTGAAGTGGGTGCTTAGGTTCCTTTTAGAGAAGAAGAAACAGGATCAGAGAAATGACAGCGTGGAGATCAGTGGATTTCAGTGTGATTGGTTATCCTGGTGAAGAACAAGAGCTGCTAGAACGAGAGGCATAGTTGGGGGGCAGCTCGAGTTCAGTCTCTGCCACAGCCTTGGGTATGAATGCCGCTCCACCACGTCAGGTGATAGACCAGCTTCGTTTAGGCAGTCAATAATACTATATGCTCATTCCATCCTTTGAAGTATTCGCTTCCATATGCTTTCTCATTGTAACTGGGATGTCAAAAAGGATACCTTTTTCAGGTGTGTCTTCAAATGCAAAATTTCGGAGAGCTTAAGGACAAATTAGATGCTCATTACGAAAAGCATAAATCCATTTTTAATATCCCTTATATAGTGTACTATACTCTCCCTTAAACAGTAGAAATTATCCAGGCCTCAGTTAAACAGGGGTACTAGTGTAGATCATTAACTACTTATGAAAGAGACAGGGGAAAAAGCCAAAACTCTGCCAGCTGTTGTTATCATTTGGATGAAATAAAATAAAAGGTTGATTATGGCCATCATCATAGTTTTATCAGTGGGAAAATCTGGAGTGAAAAAATTTAGAATGTAAATGTTTTTAGATCATATTTAGGTGCATTTAATCAAGTTAAAAACCCCACCACATCTTGGATAAGAGCAGATATGTATAGGAAAATCTTTCTGTGCAATTGATCTAAAATTTGACTTAAAACAGGGACAAAACATTTACCTCCTCTATGGTAACAATTTATGCCATGTAATAACCCTGACATGTTTACAGAGTCGTGTCTAATGGGCCCTCCAGAGCTCTGGCGAGTACCACAGTGTGTCTGTTTTCTACATTGTGTAGGAATCTGGAAAAGTTGTATGAAATGAAAATCTATCATAAAGTTTTTGCATCCAGCTTAATCACTGCTCTCTTGAAGTTTAGAAAAGGGTTAAGGACTGTCTGTTCTTTATTAACTACACTCAAAACTGAACTTAAGAGATTTTAATAGCTGTTTAGTGTTTGAATCCATAATACAAAGAATATTAAGATTTTTAGCATTAGTGTCCTACATGTATCCACTTGAAAATGAATGGACTTCATTGTTTAATTCCAAAGATATACATATATACTTGTTTACATGTATAGATATATATTTTGCATTTTACAAGTGCATTTTATTTTTTCCCAATCAGATAAACAATCAGATCCTGTATGGAAGAAGTCACCAAAATGCGTCTGCCATTATTAAGACTGCCCCATCGAAGGTCAAGCTGGTTTTCATCAGGTGAGATGGAGATGTCTGGTTTTCTAAAATCTGAGATCTCTTCTGGAGATGTTATTATATTTTGTATTTTATCTCTTGTATTTTATCTGTCTAGCCAGATTACTGTATTCTAAAAATACATTTTCCGTTTGTAACTGTCACTAAGAAAAGTATAGATTGTTTGATTATGAGGTTTTCTTGTTGATAGAATTAGTAGTTGAGGCTGTGTTATGAGAGGTTCGGGGATTCGATCGGAGACGTAAAAGACACTTTCCACTCCAAACAAATGGACTGAAGGTATATTTTATTATATAGAGGATAGTAAAGGTGACAGTCTGCAAACAGATCCAAATAGGTCAAATATTAAGAGGGAAAAAACATCAGCCTGACTGGAAAGGG